CATAAAAGTGACACCAAGTTCCTCTATTCGGTTAAGAGTACCCGTTCAGGCGGCGTGTGTTTGTGATTGGTTTGATTTTCTTGATCAACAGTTATAAATAAGGAACGACCATGCATGAGCCTGTCCATTTAGTCCATGTGTCGCTATTAAGGTTGAAAATATCAAAATCGCAAATACCAGCATCCAAATATTTTACGTAAGAACCATTGAATAACTAAGTACAAGTGTGAGTTTTTCATTTTGTCCTGAAAATTTTAATAACTTTTGAATGATACTAAATTAAGCCCTCCAGTGGCACAGCGGCATGTCTGCGGATTTACACGCCAGAAACCGAGTTTCGGTACCCGTGGTGGACAGAGCACAGATAGTCCAATGTGTAGCTTTGTGCTTAACGTCAAATAACAACAACTACTAAATTAAGGCACCAATTAAATATTAGGAAATGATCATCATTATTTAGAGCTGACTAAAGACGAAATAGTCTTCAAACAACAAAACCCCTGCCCCTCAGCTTGAAGACTTGTATTCTTAAAACTTAGGTTTTGCTATTCGTGGTAGGTACAGCGCAGATAACCCATTGTGTATCGTAAAACACTGTGTAAGTAAAACAAAATTTCACGTTACTTTTAACATCTTCCTGATGCTGTTTGGGGTGTTAACTAAGTTTCCGTCTTGGTGGAAACTAATGTTTAATTTTGATTTTTTTCCTTTTTTATATATAAGTGAAGCTACGATAAGACAGTTGTAACCACTAAAACGCAAATCAAATTATTAAATACTATTGAATTGTAGCAAGCTAGAGCATTTACAGTAATTTTTGTATACAATATTCTGAATAGCATATCATTAAACGGTATTTTGTATTTCAAACGTGAACAGCAAATTATGGAACACGTGAACTAACCAATCAGGTCAAAAACCCCAAATATGAGGCATATCCATTCCTAATTCAGAACTCTTAACTAGTATAAAGACAAACAGGAAGTAATATCCTCCGCATACGCGACTACTCGTAAAAAAATAGCTGGATTAACTTTCACAGTTATAACGCCCCCGCAGCTTGAACCTTGGACCTTCTGATCTACATAAGACTTGTCAAATATCATCTTATTAAACACCATCCTGTTAAAACTATCACATAAAATATCATCTTATAAAACTATCACGTAAAATATATGAAATACCACACTATTAAAAACGATCACATGGAATGCCATCCTGTTAAAACTATCACATGAAATATCATCTTATAAAACTATCACGTAAAATATATGAAATACCACACTATTAAAAACGATCACATGGAATGCCATCCTATTAAAACTATCGAGTGAAATACCATCCTCTTATTGAAGACAAAAAATCATTTATTATCATCATCATCATCATCCTGATAAAGTAAACTTTACGTGACAGGTGTTGTGTCACAAAGTCAACGCTAAAAGCCAAATTCCATATTGTTAGTACATACATTACAATTAATGACTATACATATTTATGTATTTTAAAACCGTCTAAAAGATTCCCGAAGCAACTGTTAAATATCAATGTGTATCGACAGCACCCAATGAAAGTGTAAATGCAATTTTAAACAATTACTAAACAACCATAACAAGGATTAACAGATTCTAAATTTTGCCTGAATATTTACTCACTCTGTTAAAGTGTCAAAATTGTATAATAGTTTATGTCACCATGGTTAATTTTGTAATCTCTTGCCGCCCCCATAGATACATGTTGAGCTATCCACGATCCGAAAAGGGATCGAATAGTATTCGATTTCAAACATTTAGTTCTTGAACAGACGTATACAATAAAAATGTTATTTAGCAGCTCATTACGTTTTTTCTTTAGAAACTAAGCCTTTATAAAGCCAAAGCTGTATCCCTTACTTACAATGCAGAAATTTTTACTAAAACTTCAGAAAAACAACTAAGGCCTTCTTCAGACCCATAATTATCCAGTAGGAACAAATCAAAATCAAGAGTGTGAGAAAACATACAAACACATATATATGTTCATAACAAGATAACTGTAATAAATACTAATGCTAAACGGATTTTATCAAGAACACTTACCCCCCCCCCCTTCCTCCCAGATTGATCGCAGGTAGCTATGACGTCATCAGCTGGAGTACAAACAGTGGGCGAGAATGACTTGCCTGCACTAGACAACCAGACGCCTCTTTAAGTATCTGGACCGCCCCTAAAGCTTTGCAACCACGTGGTTCTCAAGAAATTGGTCTTGGAGGGGTTTGCAGACCGCAAGAACATATATAACACCTGGGACATTTTATGCTGGCTCTTCCAATAACTCGATTTTCGCAATCCCAAAAAAAGTAAATTCGATTGTATATTAAAGAATACGAGTTGTATCTGATATTACACACACACACATAAAAACTATTTTACGACCGAACACGCCAAACACATATACCATCTCAAAAACTACTATTTTGTCTAATTGTTATACAGGCACACATATATTCATCATGATCACTTGATGATGAATGTTAAATCATCTTTACTATTTCGAGTTCAAGCGATAATCCAGCTTTCTCCATGTTTAGTTAATTAAGCTTCCTTTATTTATTTGCTATGTCAACCAGGAATATTAAATATTCTAGTTCAGAATAAATAAAGAGTGAAGAGACTACTTACACTAATTACGATGTAAGATGGTAAGTAATGTGATTGAGAAGTTACTTGATCATATTGTTTTTAGTTTTCATGTTGATTATGGCTCACTGATAAAAGAAAAGTTAGCCTAAAAAAATATTTTTTTAAAGAATTCTCAAACACATCTAACTATTCTAGTTACGTGAACTTCATCTAAATTACTCACTGGAAATGTGTATCTTTAGTAGTAGTTAAAAGTATACTACACAACAGTTCTCATAAGTAGATTTAACCCAGTATTTACTGTAATATTCCGGTTTAGATATTGGATTTTATAAAAAGAAGGAAGTTGCCGTACATCTGATAGAAGAATGAACAATGGAGCGATAAATGTAAGGATAAAAGGTTTTTAGTTGAAATAATTGAGATTATTAAAGTAATAAACCATAAAGCGTAATGGTTCTTAGCCGGTAAAGGAAAAACCTGTTACGAAAGAGTCTCTGAACAGTTACTGAAATGTTAAATATTCGGCAAGATGGAATTGCTCTACTACCAGGAAATTATTGACTCTACATGACTGTATAACAAGCACAATGGTTGAGCCAGATCATTTGAAAACTAGAGTTAATTTTGTGGTATATAACATGATTCGTTAAAATAAATAAAATGTTATGTTAATTTGCTTTGATACTTTTTTATGTTCCATAAATGTCACCTTGTGAAACAAAACTACTTATAATTCTATTCAATTTTTACTTCATCCACTGCCGTACTCTCTGACGTAGAAGCATTATTATGGAACTAATATTTTCATTGCATTCATAAATTCTGAATATTTTCACAATGATTTCTTCCTTCCGTTTACAATCAATTTGTTTTTCTTCAAAGAATGGGATGAGCAAAACTGAAGAAGAGCGCTTTTTACAGCTCAATCTAATTTCAAATTGTTTGGTAACAATCAACGTACGACATCTACTGTGAAGCATGCTGGGGAACCAATACTAGTGTTGGTTATACCTGAGTTAATGGTGTTCGAGATCTATACAAAATTGCTGGCACCTTGACTGCTGACAGGAACATGCTCGCTCAAGCAGAAAGAAAGAACACCTGTTTCTCGTTCTGTGAAAATAATGATTGAAAGTAACCTTAACATAAAGCTGACAACATTCCGATACTGTAAATTTCAGTAATAAATCCGAGATTGTTTTATTTTCAATTATTTGAGAATGGAAATTATTGTGATTAACGTTTTCCCGTAAATGCATATCGAAGTTTCTTTGCACTCTTAACTGCTTTATCCAGTTAAACAGTTAGACTATATCTCATATTATGTATGCATACGATTACGAAGTCGGTGCTGCATATGTTTACATTAGCGTAATTGTTAGAGCAGGCCTAAAATGAAACATTAATTTATTAACTTGCACTTTTAACATGATATAAATTGAGCTGATTATCATACAACCACAAATAACTTGTGCCATGCAGTGTGACTTATTTCATGGCGTTAGGAAACAGGTCGTGATATGGAAAAATGAAGAATCTTATATAGTTAGTTCTCGCCTCTAACTTGTTAGGTATATGTCAACATGATGACCACTTCAGCTTTCTGGTTTGGCTCTTTTTCCTAAGAGTGGTTTTGGAGAGCTACACATGAGTTTAGGGCGCTTCGTGCCAACGCGTTTTTGACTGTTTTGTAATGAAAATTCTCAGCTGTACTTACAGCTAATTCATTGGCAAGACTTCAACGTTTAGTTTCCGTACATGGTACTTCACTTCAATCTGCCGCATGGAGAAACGCTCACCAGCGAAATGTTTAGTTTCTACACACATTTGTCATTCACTACTGCAGGTAATGGTGTGACTGCCTATATCTTTATAATAACTATGGTGGTGTGGCACTGTCTAGTTGGTTGAATGACAACGACTTACAGTGTAAAACTATCGACACGCGGCAATATTTTGGTGCAGTTACGTTTCGTACAATAGAGATGAAGTAATCTCCCAATATTTGTACTTTATACGCATTTTGTTCACTATTTCAAAATTATTTCCAATACTGTAAATTTGTTGATATACATATATATGTTTTATTAAATAAACATATCTATTCAACAGTTGTATTGTTTACTAGAGGGAGTTAGACATTTTGGCAATATCTTTACTCTCCATATAATAATAAACAAAAACTTTATTTCAGCCAACGTTACGCCCTTGCAGCTTCATCAGGGCTAGTAGAACAAGAACTTTCAGCAACCTATGTTTGGATTAGAATTATTTAATGTTCATAGCTTTGTTTTAATTGTGGTTTGAGCCAGAAAGCCCGTTCTAGTTATGTCGTATCCTAATCCTGGTATCTTGTTACTTTTCTAATTGTTGCAGGTCTAGACTGTCTTCACACTGGTCCTTCTCACCATGATGATCAATAAGTTGGCCTTGTCAAGCTGATGACCTGACATTCTTTCGAACTTCCTAATATGCAGTGACAAACCGACCTATGTATTGTTATGTCTTACATTGGAATACCACACAGTTAAGTGTTTTTATGTTATAAGAAAATACACATATACATAACGGTTTCGTGTCATATATTATTCTGTATGTGGCCTTTGTCTCTTTCGAGTTCATATCACTTTATTACAGATTAAACTGTACAGAAAATATTCTCCTTCTTACCAAAAACAGTGGTTTTGTAGTTGTTCTTTTTCAAGGGGAATAGGTGAAATTACAGGTTGTTATTAGTAAAGAAAAAATTCACATCTTTATTTATAAAGCACTTCCTAAGAAGTAAATTATACAAGCAATTTTATTCGTCTGCGTTGAACGCTCGCTATTCGCCCTGACATTGCAAGTTCCCTGAGGAGCGCAACTGCTTCTGCTTTTTTTCAGGCTCCACCTACGTTAAAATCTTTTTCATGGTAATAAATCGTCTTGTTTTATTGCCCAACACGTAAAGTGAATGTTTAAAGAATACCAGCGAATTTTTCTTTCCCCTTTACCTTTGCAAGGTAATTAAACCTCACAGAAAAACTTTACTCGGAAAATATATAAGTGAACCCATGTCGTGGTTCTCAGTTGAATTTAACCACCCTGAAATTCCGAAAATTATGGGCATATAAGTCAATAAGTGAGAAGAAACGAAACAACGCTAAAAAACATGCTTGCAATTTATATAAGAAATTATTGTTTAAGATTACAAAATGCTAGCTGACCACTTCATCTCAAATTTCATTCATCAAGTTCTATCACGCAATTTTCTCAAGACTTGTACATATTAATGATCAAGAAATGGTTCAATAATTGAAAAAAAAATTGTCGTCTTACTTCCACTTGAACCTTAAAGTTTACAGTTACCATTTCAGTGACACTTTTTCCCATGGGCATAAAAAACAAGAGTAAAATCCAACTTCAACTTCTGTGCGTATGTGTGTTTATATAAGCTTTGAATATTATTAATCTTCCATTGGCTGTACAAAGTGCAGTGGAATAATGAATAGTTCAAAAAGTACCAATTCGAAACTTCAGTGTCCAACAACGTAAACACGCGCATCACAAGCAAAGAAAATTTGACATACAGAAGAATGAAATGTAAGAAAAAAAATAAGTTTTTGAGAGCTACTAAAGATATCTTCTTACTCCTTAGAAAAAGATTTATCACACGGTAACTGACAATTATATACTCAACTATTCACTAATCTAGACACTTGGAAAATTCATATTTTTTTCAAGTGACTAAGGTATGTTTACTTTAAACGTAGTAGGTAGAGACTTGAAAATAAACGTTTTTACAATAAGTATGTAATATTAGTGAGTGAAAAATTAGAATATGATATTACCACCTAGATATTAAATTAAGGTTGTGTAGATACTTCAACACCCAATTCGACTGGGTAAAAAAGCTTGAATATCTTGAAGAATCACGTGGTGATTAATGAACATATGTGTTTGTGTGTGTGTTTTGAAGGATATTTATATATAGAGAGAGAGTTTGGTTCGTATAAACTGAGAAGGGAGATTTCTCAACTCTACCAAATTGACTCCCCTTTCTTTCTGGACAATTATTTTCGAATTTAAACTGACACAGATACGAGTTCTTCAGTTAAAAGACTGCCTAAGATCCATTTCATTCACCAAATGATAAATGTTAGAACCCTTGATATGTTCGTTTCTAATATCTCGAACAATAACAACATACGTTTAGACATATAGAAGGTCTAACCATCTAGACTAATTAATACCATTACTCAATATATTTATTCATCCTATTTATCTAACCCATGCTACATGCTATATAATTTGAAAAGTACCTTTTTTTCTCCTCCATTAAAATGTTTATAACAGAAACGACGCCCTATGGTGGCTGTTTGTGCTAGTAATTACTAATCGTAGTATTAATACCTCATTGAAAATTTTTTTAGAAAAAGTGAACATTTTCTAAAAAATGATTTTTTTTCTGGGAAGTACTGCACGGGAATAGTGTTCGGATTGTGCTCTATAGTCATACGCAATTCATTGCATCAAAATGATTCAATGTTCAGAGCTCAAAATTTTCATAAATTTTACTGATATAAACTGTAATGTTAATGTTTATATATATTAAAAGTAGTGCCATTTATTGAAAAAATAATATACTTTTTAAGAACTCTAGTTTCTCAGTACTACATTAAAAATTTACATCAATGAAGATGTAATCAAACCCTCACGTACATTCTCAGTGAAAGTCGTGTTCTTCTTGTGAGGAGAGTAATTTTATTTAAAATTGGGTTCTATTATAACGAAATGTTTGTTGCACATACCACAGTTATTTTTCTAATTGTTTTAATCTTGAACACCCAAAGAGCGAAATTATTTATGGATTTTTGTTTTTTTTGTGGTGCCATTTAATAGATGGCGCAGGAGTTTTGTTTGCATGCATAGATACTGACATACATGCTACGTATGGATGGCTATGCGTAGATAGCTCTTACATATCTCTACATAAAATTCTGAAACAGAGCATGGTCAGTCTTATCTACGCATAGCCAACCATAATTCTGAACTGATAGACTAGAGTGGGGGAATTTAAAGAACAGCACATACCACCAACTCTTGGGTTACTCTTGTCTGATCGAATAGTGGGATTTGACTGTCACTCTTACAACGCTCACATGGCCTCAAAACACGAAGCGCACTTTTTCGGCAACGAGTACGTTAACGACGCAAAAAAGACTAATTTCTCAATCACTGGCTTCCCAAGCAGTGAAGTTGGCAAACTCAAACTGCTTACCAACTGTTTGAGTTTGCCAATTTCACTGGCTTACCAACAGTTTGAGTTTGCCAAATTATGCTCAGAACTTATTGTTGTTGCATTGAGTCGTCAATACTGTGTGATAAATTGTTCTCAATTTTTTATAAACACATTTTATGATAGAAATAGTGCATTTCGGAACTTAATTTAGATCTTTCACTAATTTCTATAGATAAATTAGCATCTTAACATCTTTGACTTCAGACTTTTTCCTTTCCTCTTTAGACGGTATTTTGTTGTTTATTTCATTTAATATAGGTCTAGTACAGAAACAGATTTGGATATTTTTTCTTTTGGATTTTAAAGCATTCCTTAAACAATGTCTGTCTGTTTGTTTGTTTCAGCGCAAAACTACACGATAGACTATCTGCGCTCTGGCCACCACGAGGGATCTAACCCCGGATTTAAGCGTTGTAAATCCGTAAACTCACTGGAAACTCTTTAGCGATACCTACATAACTCGATCATTTGTATAATATTTTATCTTTTTTCAAATATACAGGTGGTTGGACGTACATTGACACGAGGCTAGAATTAAATGTTTCTCTTCTTCTTTCAGCGCCAGAATGGTCTAATAATTTCGTTTTTTTTGTTAGATTTCATTTTTTAAAGCGATTCGCAAGGACAAATTATACATCTCAATGATGGGAAGGAAATAAATTGATATTTTGTTGAGACTATTTCTTATCTTTATACCTATTCACTCTCACTCTATTCCTGCAATGTACACGTTTTCTACGTCGTTCAAGTCACTAAAGCTCCAAACTGCTACACTTATAGATTAAACTTTTCTCTCTCTTGAACAGCACTTTGCACAATATATACACGTGCTTCATTGGCTATATTATTCATTTGATATCCACGGATATGTTGATATACCACACTGTCGTTTAACGTGTCTACTTCATCACTGTCTTTATAATACATATATGTTAATGTCTTTGTATCTGATTGACAAATTACTTAATTTTCTTTTAATATACGAGTTTACTTTTTGAGCATTATCTCCGGCAGGTATTGCTTTTATACTCTTTACGTTATTTTTAAGTTTATGCAGAAATAAGCAGCTCTGTGTTATAAATATATATTTTATTCATCTGAACATTTTAGAGAATAATACATCGCCCCTGGCGGTGTATCAGCTAAGACATCGTAAAAAGTGTAAGAAGAACATTAAAATGTTTGTTTTATGTTGTTGTTTTTTTTGTTCATTTGCTTATAATTAAAGTTGTTATTTTTACCTTTGGAAACGTCCTTCAATAGTATTATGCAAATAGATATGATTAATTTTTTATATTTTGCTAATATATATATATATTATATTAAATTTAAAGCTATAAAACTTAAAATAAGTCTACTAAAATACTGTTTCCAGCTAAATACTCTGGTCATTATGGTGGAATTATAATTATTTATGTATGTGTATGAAAAAAAATCTGTCGTTAAAGTTAATGAATATATTAGTGAAATAATAAGACAGTTTCAACCTTGAAACACTAACAGCATTCTCTGTGTTCCAACTTCGGTATCAGTATGTAGAGCAGAGTGAAAAGTGGGACGACTTGCTAGTTCTCCCCTCCCCCTTCTAAACAGCAAAGATAGTTAAAATTCAAATAATATTGAATCTACATTGATACCACGCGAGTAAATATAATCTTTACAAGTTGATTGACGTACCGTATTTCTTTTTTTTTGTTTGTTTGTTTTTCCTTCACCAGATATCTTTAATTTGTAGACTTGAGATATGTAATCACACGATGGTATTGAAGTTTGTGTGTTAAGTTTTTTTATTTTGTTTTTACACTATCTCATATAGGCTTAAGTCATTTATATAGGTAGCTTTCACCCTCTTGATGCCGCTTTCTGTAAAATCATCACAAGTGGGCGGGAAAATAGCGTAATTATGAGCTAATTGGTTAAATCAGTAGTTCCCCAAACTCTTTTAGTCTGAGGCTCCCTTGATGCGAATATAAAAAAGTTTGAGCCCCCCAACCTATAACTTTAACATGGTGACTGAAAAACAGTGCCGTAGTAAAAACAACAACATCACCTATCGACATACTGTATCATTTAATTAACTCAACATAATTTTTATAGTATTGTTTATTTAGAATTAAAATTAATTCAGCAGCTCTTTTTTCGGCCCTTTTTTTTTTTTTTGGTGTCTTCCCCCTCCCCAGAAAAAGCTTCACGGCCCTTAGA